ATAGTCACAGAGACATTTCATCGAACATGTTACATACATAACACATATTCAGTGAGACATTTTAACAAACACGTGATTGGCAAATCGAGAAGAAAGGAGAAACAACTTACAGCAGCACCAGATCTAACTGAGAGGAGAAGAGGCTTTGCTGGGTCACCGAGAAAAGCTCCCATATCCTTCTCCACAATATTCAAACCTTCGATTATTTCATCCCATAATCCTTCTGGAAGCTTCTTACCTACTTGCTGATACTCTTGACATGCCTCTGTGGAGATGGTGAGTCCAGGTGGCACCGACAACCCGATGCTCGCCATCTCAGCAAGATTCGCGCCCTTTCCTCCCAACTGATATGTTTGAATTTTTAATTACATTTTGAATAATGAAAGATTAATCGTGTTTGTAAGTGGGGAAAATTGTAGTTTTGGTCCTCTATGTTGTTCTATTTGGGAATTTAGTCCTCTAACTTATCATGTTTCAGTTTTACGTGCAATAACTTTGCAAATATGGTATTTTTAGTCCTATTTTGCATGATTTTTTATTTTATGACGCAACAAATAAACTTGACGCATTTCACTTATATGGACGCTTGGAAATTTATAAATTCGACATCTAACTTACCATTTGTAGAACTTTAGACGACTCATCTGTAAATCAAATTAGAGGAGCATTTATAATTTTTAAATGTCCGCATAAACAATTTTCTACGAGTTTGTTAGGTACATCATTAAACAGCGGCTAAAATTCAAAGTTCGAGTGAAGTAGGACTAAAAATACTAATTTTGCATAATTATTGCATGTTAAATTGAAATATGACAACTTATAGGACTAAATCCCTAAAGAGATCAACATATAGGACCAAAATTATAATTTTTCCGTTGTTGGTGTTTATATATCAGTTTCCCGTGTCCTAATTGTTTGGGTTTATTGTATTTAGAACCCTGTATTTAATCTAATGACTAAACACTACCCGTATTATATATATTAGAAAAACAAACCCTTTGATGCAACTCTTTTTTGGCCAACAACTCCTAGATAATCACTATCTAGGAGTTGTTTGCATAATCAAAATGCATGATAGGAGCATTTGCTAATATTTATTAGCACAAGAAACTTTTAGCAATTAGATATAATACAGGGGTATTAAATGCAATAAACCTTTTTTTTTTGGTTCGTATATTTATCGCAATTTCCATTTATGTATCTGTGCTACATGGGATACGGTTTATACTACGCTACACCGAATGAAATACATTGAATTTTTACCATTCATATATAATTAAGCATACAAAAACACACACACACCCACTGCACATTAATGTGTGTAATTCAACGGTAAAACCCGATGTAACCATTCGTAAGAACGGATATTCGGTTTTTTTTTTTCAACTTACCAAAGATTTCATGCCTTTGTTTCCCTCACTCCTTCCTTTGCCGAAAGTGATACCCTCTACACACACAAATATTCAAATAAAATTTAATCAATTTGAAATGCCTATATATATATATATATATATATATATATATATATATATATATATATATATATATACCTGCATGTCGCGTTGATGGTATCTAAAAGGAACAAGAAATCAGTTGTTATATATATTATCTTCTTGCAATGCAGATTTCGGACAGTACGTACTAATTGAGTGTTTCCTTAAGGATACATTTTCTTGTCTGGTTTTTTATATAGGAGCGAGGAAGAACGATAGAGATGTGACACGTGTATACTACTGCCACGTGACA